CCAACACTTACACTCGAAATGGAAGTAAGCTCAACAATTATGAAACAAGAGATTCCTGGAAACCCAACTTTTTTTGCATAGGAGTGATAAGACAACCGTATGGCAGAAAGTTGTTCAGGGGCTCAACTTTCCTCGCCTCTTTCTCCCTTTGTAATTTGGTCCTGAGAATGGCCAATCTCACTGACGATACCGTTTACGACGTCGGCAAAACGTCTGGGCATGTACCAAGTCCACGGTGCAAAGGTGTGAATCATCATAACCAATGCATTAGAGAGGTTTGGGCAAGGTGCGTCCAACTAGGTCGCCCTGACAACAGAACCAAGTTGCAAAAGCCAGATCATACCACTTCTATGTTTGCGCTAATTGTAGGAATTTGTTAAGATAAGCGACTCAAACAGAACTAGCTTTAGAAATAGATAGTATCACTTGTTCTTTTGCATGTATATTGTTAAACCTTGATGCTCATGTAATTTACTGCTAAAGACTTTTACTTCGTGTGAAAGTACATGAAGATGAAATTCGAAAGTGGAGCTCACCAGAAGACGACGACTGATTCGTGTTTTATTCCAGCCGTTTGGCTTTGATACGACGTTCAGATTGACACAGTCCACGAGACCTTCTACCTCGTTTCGAGTGAAAACAGACAAAGCTTTCGATGGGCATCCTCAGAGACGAAACTCGTTCCTGTAAAAGTCTCAGATTAGCACAAGGTTTAAAAGCCGATGAGACTTCATGGCCTTTTACAAAAGAGAGATCCAGCTCTGATGGTGTTCAGTCCGTGATCACCCAAAACGAGGAAGGAGATCTAGTGGATTGCGACAATGTGAACATCATGTTAAAGCCAGACGGCTGCACCTTCGAATTTCGTCTTTATCCACATTATTATGAAATGAAAGTCTCCCAAACAATATTATCTCATGAGATTCTTAGTTTTACTTTCTTCTACATAAACAGAGTTATGACTTGTAATTTCGTATTCTTTTTTTCGTTTATAAATAGGTTTTATAGACTACCATTAGATCATATAGTAGAGATGTATTTATCCTATTTCATTTGGGCTGATGAAGTCAAATTTTTTAACAAGCTTATAAGCATACCTCACATTTACATTAAATTCCGCAAAGCCCTACTTTCCAAAAAGTATTCTCACTCAGGCTGAACTGGACTGCAATTTCTACTTGGTCTGAACGGGACTCAAACTGTGATAGTACATCATATAATCTAGAATGTTAGCCTGTCACATGTGTCCTTGTGTAGCAGAGCAGATGCGAAATTATAGTAAGACCAGGCATTTTCCCATATCACATTATGTGGTAGGATTGTCGATGTTGCAAAGTTGTATTTGCTATAGCAATCGAGTAGATTGCTTATTTTTATTTTTCGAATTAAGTATTGTTGTCGTGACTACCAGTAAATCAGTAATATGAGATGTATTCACACAATTTCGTTTAAGGTCATGAAGGACTGGTAGAAGAAGAATTTTCCCACAAT